ATCTGAGAAGTTTTCAAAGACCGGTTTTAGTTATGGGAAAATGAGTGCTAACTGCTGGTCTTATATAATATATTAGACCTGATTTTAGTATATACTTGACCCATCTTATGGATTTTGGAGATTTATAGCTTTTAATTATCTTGTATTTAATATTTCTATAAATTTAGTACCATTTTTCATTAACATAAACACAGGCAGGCTGTTATCTATTGTACTATGTATGATTGCTCCTGTTTAGAACTACAGATCTCATGCCATCAGTCATTTGAGAAAGGGTTCTGCACCCATTATTGGATTTTAGCAGTTAAAATTATGATAAGGGGGAACTTTTGTATGATGCTTTGATGTTTTGAATTTTTCATTTTTCTTCCTGTGCCTAATAAACTAATATTTATTAATGTTTACTTTTGATCCTTTATAGGGTTTTCTTATATTTAAAGGTTTTCATAGACTAACTCTTTTAAAATACATATGCAGTTAATTAGATTATAGATCAGGGTACAAGTAAATTTTCTCATGTATGCTTTGAAAACCATTGACATTCTTGATATTTCATATCAAGTGATTAATATTAACATTTTCTAATTTTAAAAATGTATTTTTAAGCCTTATGATTCTGCAGATGACTGGTCTGAGCACATTAGCTCGTCTGGGAAAAAATATTACTACAATTGTCGAACAGAAGTTTCACAATGGGAAAAACCAAAAGAATGGCTTGAAAGGTATTTGTTTTAATCTAATTAAGTAATATTATTCTTAATTCTTCAGTTTAATATCTTACCATTAAATATTCTAATTTTAGTTTCCTTATAGTGTCATTCTCCTTAATTTCAGTGATTGGCCCATTGTCATTGTTATTTCCATAATTTCTCTTTCCTTAAAAAAAAAATTGGGATACATGGGCATCTGTTACTGAGGGGAACAGAGGGGCTTGGAAGCAATCGATAAACTTAATAAAATACTTATATTATTAATCTGCATGTATGCATCATTCTTATAATTTGTAATAGATTCTTTCATATACTAATAGGTTTCTTAATCTTACGTAGAATTTGTAGAGTTTTCACTATAGTGTTGATGGTATGAATAATTGGTATAGTTTTGCCATCAGAGAGACATTTGAGTATGCTGTTTGCTCCATCCATTTCACTGTAGGCCATGTTCAATTCTTTTGTTTTTTCATTTGTTAACAGTGGCAGCTCATGAGGATTGTGCTTGTCTGTCTTTAAAAGAAAGATCTAATCATTGAACATTCAGGCCCTCAATGTGATTTTTATGAGTTTATTTTTTACTTTTAGAGAGCAGAGACAAAAAGAAGCAAATAAGGTGGCAGTTAATAGCTTCCCAAAAGATAGGGATTACAGAAGAGAGGTGATGCAAGCAACAGCTACTAGTGGGTTTGCCAGTGGAAGTAAGTATTAATTTTTTTTTTTATTTGAAACGGGGTAATTCATCCCTATTGTTCATTTTACAAGTGTTTATATGTGTTGTCATAATACGTGTATAAATTAAGATAAATAGGAACATATACGTGATTTCTTTTTATGTTGACTCTTTCTCCTCGACCTCTACTAGTTTGTTTCCTGAATAGGGAACAAAGATAAAGATGCACAGTAGACTAATACATGAATATATTTCCTACTACTAATATTGGCTACAGTGCCGTTGAATTGGTAAACAATAAGATTTTGTGTTTTAGATCAACTTTTTAAAAAATTAATTTAAAAAAAAACAAAAACAAAACACATGGTGACCCCTGGCTTTTCGCTGATAAAGAACAACTTTATTATTTTTTGGCTTACAGCTTTACAGGTTTAGTTCATGATTAGCTGAATCCATTGCTTAGAGCCTGGGGCAAGGCAGATTGCAAAAGGGCATGGTGGTGTAAACCTCCTCAGCTCTTGAAAGCCAGCAAGCAGAAAGGGATTTGAGGCACTAGGGCCAAGATAAAAATTGCAAAGGTATGCCCCCCAGGGATCTACCTTCTAGCCATGCCCCACCAACATTATCACCCAGTGCAGTGGTCATTTTAAATTAATCCATCAAAAGGAATGATCCACTGATTAGGTCACAGCCCTCATAATCTAATTATTTCACCAATTAACATTCCTGAGTTGTCTCATGAGCTTTCAGAGGACACCTCATGTCCAGATTATAACAACCCTTGAGAAACTATTTATCTGCACATAGATGTTCCCTAACTTATGCTCTTTGTACTGCAAAGTTAAGAAATCCTATCAATACAAACATTGTTTTTCATTTTCAGTACCAGTATTCAATAAATTTCATATGCAGTTCAGCACATGTTATAAAACAGACTGTGTTAAGTGATTTTTGCCCGATTGTAGGCTAATACAAGTATGCTGAGCATGTATAAGGTAGGCAAGGTTAGTATCTGATTTTCAGTAGGTTTGGTATATCAAGTGTATTTTTGGCATATTTTTAACTTTCAGTTGGTTTATTGGAATGTAACACCCTTCGTGACTCTAGAATTATAGACCTGTAGTATAGCTCTGAACTAAGTTTCCACAAAACGATTCCCAGAGTGTTTACTATAATACTATTCTAGAACATTTGTTGTAAAGTGCTCCTGTATATAAATCAAATTATGAGCTTACTTTAGTATTCTTTTGAGGCCAAATTTTGTGCAAGTGGGACAGGTTTTTGTTTTTAATGTATTTTTTAATTGGACATTTTACTAAAGGTTTTATTCTTAATGACTTTCCCTTCCTCAAATAAATGTTGAGATTTTGAGATGAATATTTAAGATGGTGTGTTCTGGGAATCTTAAATTTAAGCGTTTGAATACTATTTCTGTAACTCAAAACTCAAAGTACTGGTGTATTTGGTCTCAGCAAGAGACTTTGAATTTTTGAGGGGAAAATTTAAGATGAACCAGTAACATGAATTTCCATGGCTGAGTGTTGCAGTCTCTGAAACATCAAAACTTTAAGTTTATTAGTGAAATTGTACAGAAAGCAGTGGTACCAAGTACTAAAGGTAGGAAGCACATTGTATTTTGAGATGACTTGGGTTCTAGTCACATTTCACTTCTTAAGTGACTGTGACTTTGGTCAAACAATTAAAAATGAAACAGAATTGTTGAAGGAAGTAAATAGCACCCAGCTTATGGGACCCCTGAGCAAAAAGAGGATGGGGAAGCAAAGAAGAAGAATGACAGATGAGTATAAAAATAATCTGTTTTAGTTAAAAAAAAAAAAAAAAAGTTTCAGGGATGCAGTGTTCTGTTCATGCTAAGTAGTTCCTGGGATTAGGCAGCATTAGATTGGACCAGTTGTCTCTACTTATGCTGATGTTTCCAGTGTTTTCCAAAGAGGAAAAAGAACAAAGCTTTTTATGCCTAGTGTATTCTTTCCAAAATAACCTCTCATTTAAGTCATTCTTCCCTCAGGGTAGAGTAAGAGGAGAAATTAAAGACCTGATTTAGGAAAATTAATGGGAGAGGGAATTTTGTGTGTGTATACAGTGTTTTCTTTCAAAGCTTAAAATTTTTTGATCTTCATGATTTCAAAAATTAAGACATGTTTATTAAGAAATTGGAAGAGAGGTCAAGTTTTTTTATCCTATGACCCAGGATCATTTTAAAACTTATACTTTCTTTCTGGGCGCATATATAAATGTATGTAGAAATTGCATGTGTGTGTATTTTACTCTAAAAAAGGGATTATCTGTTACTGGCTTTAGTCTGTTTCTTTAATACTATTTTAGGGATTTATTTCCATGTCAGCTTGTAATTCTACATTTGTTTTATTGCCTACACAATATTCCAGCGTTTGGATGTACCTTTATAAATAACTCCCATTCATGAACACTTGGGTAGTTTTTAGCCTTTTTCTCCTATAAACAAGATTTTTATATTTGCCCTCTTACCTGAAGCTGAATTCCTACATGTGCAGATTATGGGTAGTGGGGCTATGGCTGTGTTGAAACGTAGTTTTGTATCATGCTTTCTTTTTTTTTTTCTTTTTAATAGATCAGCCAAGCTGGAAACTATGTGGTAGTAACCAGTTGATGTTGTATAACATTGCCTATCCAAAAAATTTTGGCAGTTTTCCTATGTGTTCAGCATATTGGTGTTCATGTAGAGTAATACTTAAAGCTTGATAAAAGAAACAAGAAGGGGGTAGGATTGGAAAGATTTTTACATGTTCTTCACAACTTGATATTAAGAATTATATGGATAAAATTTTTAAAATGATTCTATTACTGGATCTTTTTCTAATCCATCTGACGAGGTGATCTCTTTAAGTTTAAAGAAATTTCTGTTGGGATTTGTCATTGCACTATTGATATATTGGATCAAGTGTTTCATTGTTTTGGATGACTGTCCTTTGTTATAGATTGTTGAGCTTCATACTTATCAGGTGCCATTTGCACATCTCCCCTCCAGTCATGATAATGCACGAATGTCCTAGGGAGAGGGTATGTGCAAATAATCATTTCTTTAACAGTGTTCTCTTTAGAGCTGTAATACAAGGCTTTTGCACCTGTAGTTTCTTAGTTCCTATAATGTTTTTTTTGTTGTTATTTGAAATATCATTTTTAGTTTTCATTGGTATACATTTACTTGACATATTTTGATGGTAGCTATATAGAAATGAAAGGGAATTTTCTTTGTCAAGAAAATAAAAATTCTAGGCAATCAAGTGGTAGAGGTAGGCCTAGTATTACTCCTTTTCTTTCTATTCTTCAAGGGTTTGTGATAGAATTTCTAATAGCAAAGAGAATACTAGAATTGTAGTTTTATGTCCATGAAAGTTGATAATTTATTAATGTGCCCATGCACAGAAGTTTATTCTGGTGTGATAGTTCAATCTATTTTTTGTTCAATTTTCTAAGGTAACATAGTATATTATAACTTTGGACCCTAAATTTTATACATTAAATCATTGTCAAAAGACCTTGTATTTTTATATGATTGAAATTATTTTTTGGGGATATAGCATATAGTAATGTGTGGTGATAACTTTAAAATGACTTGTAGTTTGAGAGCATTTCTTTGCTGTCTTGGTCTGTGAATAAGGAGTATGAATCGAAAAAAAATTCAATATTAAATGGAGAAGGCATCCTTTGGTAAAATTGTGATTCCTGTCACATGTTTGAATCTTAGGGTTTTTACTTGGAGGTTAGTTTAATTTTTCCGTTCCATAGATTGGAATATTGTTAGGTTAGAGACCTTTTCGATTAGTAATAAATGTGGTTAATGTGATTGTTGACATTTTCTTTCCTTCATTCTGTTTTTTGGAAGCATAGTGCTAGGATTTAAATTGTTAATAGAGGTTATTTTCAGTACTTCCCCGTGTGTTTATAGTATTTTTGTACTTTTAAATTGAAAGATCGGTTTTTACTTTAACTGTTAAGTATGTTGTTCATGATGCAGATGTAGGACTTCTATTTTCAGGTAGCATGTATCATTTTTATTAACTTACTGTCAGCATTATTAAAAATATTGGTTTACTTATTGCACATTTCATGATGAGCTCCAACATCTTAAAATGATGTCATTTAAGCCCTTGCATAAATTACTTCAGAACCCACTACTTTAGTATTCAGAAAAATCAAGCTAATAATAAGCTTAATATTTCTTTGCAGTTGGACCACTGTGAATAACTCATTTGATTAGAATCTATGATCCATATTTTAAAGGAATGGAACATTTCCTTTTTTATTTTTGAAACATTAAATTTTTTTAATAAAATATTTTTAGTAAAATATTATATATCCATGTATTGAATCTTTTTTTCCAAGTGTTTTGTTTGAACTACAGTGTGGTTCTAAGAATCCTAAGAAATTAGTAGCCCACTTGAAACCTGAATATAGATTAATATTTATAGTCAGGTTAAACTCCTCTTCTAGTATTTGAATATTTATGTCAGTGGTAAAACTGCACACACTAATTGGGCTTGCAGTTTTATACAGAGATAAATTAGTACAAGTATGTTGCTAAATTAGCTGATGTTAAAGACAGGATTCTAACGTAATCTTTTTTCTTCCCCCTTCTGTCATTCCAACATCTTTTTTCGAACTGTGAACTAAAGTGGAAGACAAGCATTCCAGTGATGCCAGTAGTTTGCTCCCACAGAATATTTTGTCTCAAACAAGCAGACACAATGACAGAGACTACAGACTGCCAAGAGCAGAGACTCACAGTAGTTCTACGCCAGTACAGCACCCCATCAAACCAGTGGTTCATCCAACTGCTACCCCAAGCACTGTTCCTTCTAGTCCATTTTCGCTACAGTCTGATCACCAGCCAAAGAAATCATTTGATGCTAATGGAGCATCTACTTTATCAAAACTGCCTACACCCACATCTTCTGTCCCTGCACAGAAAACAGAAAGAAAAGGTATGCCATTATTACTAGATGCTGCACGTTGAACTCTAGTTTCTGATATTTACATTATTTCCTTTGGCTTAAGTAAGGCTCAAATTCATTTAAGTCTTTCATAATGTTACTGCATAGACTTAGGTCTAGAGTTAGTCATATTTTAGCCTTTAAATTTTTAATATCTAGACTCAACTGTTTTTTGCTTTAGATACCGAGGTCAAATCCTTGATTTGTAATTTTTGGCAATGGTTCAAACAACTCATCAGAGTCAAATGGCTGACTGTCCTTTTATATTTGATATTTTAAAATTTTTATTATTATCTTGTTAATATAGTTTAGAAATTGTGTCAATTTTTGTGAATAGAAACATTTTGAAACATTTCTCTATAACATGTAATTACTGGTTTCAATTTGTGAATTAGAAAACTTTTGAGTTGTGAGGGCCACAAAATAAGCCCTAATTCAGATATTAACACTTCTTAAGTTTGAAAAGTATAAGTGAACATTATAACCCAAATTGTATTTATAAGACTAGGTGTTAATAAGCATAGCATGTTCAAAAAAGTCTGAAAAGTTAACTACAGCTGCTTGGGAGATGACACACAAAAGAAATAGCAGTGTGATAAGTATATTTTGCATAGAGCTTTCACAATCCCAAACCTGAACTTTATAGTATATATATGTATTTAAGAATCTAAGAAAATTAAAAGGCAGTGAAGAAACAAATTACGGGTAGTCCCATTAGCAAACTATTTTAAGTGTTGAGAAACTTTTCCATGCTTGGTGGGTTTAGGTGAAGATAATTCTTTAAGTCAAATCTATTGCTTGATCCATTGCTTCATATTGATTTAATTTGTTGTTGAGGGGTTTAAATAATTGGATTTCTTTTACTTCTAGTTTCCCCTCTTCTTTTTGTGCATATAATTTAAATGTCTCTTGTTACTGTGGCATTTGTGTTAGATGTTACTAAACCATATGCTTTTATCATACAGTTAAAAAATACATTAAACAGGTTAATGCTTGTTCCAAATACTATAAAACTTCTTAATGATGGTTTGCACCAAATTTATTGCATACATATCAGATTTACCTGTTGTAGAATAAGTTTGCGAAAAAACTTGACGAAATATGAATTAATGCATTAATTATTAATTAATTTCTGAAGAATGTTTTAGTTACTGTAATTTCCTTTATTTGGTCACAGAAAAAATTTGTTTAAAAACCCTTGCAGTTAAAAAAAAAAGTGACCTAGGTACAGTGGCATCGCCCCATTACGGGGAGGCTGTGAGTGAGAGGATCACTTCAGCCCAGGTATTCACTAGACTACCCTTGGCTAAACATAGCAAGATACTTGTCTCAAAGCAAAATCTCAACCTTGTAGAAGTCTTTATCTCATTTTACCTTTGTATTTAACACTTTTTAGCTCTTCTCTTTTTTGAAATTTTTCTCTTTTATATGATATGGTTTATATGATACTACTCTCCTCCAATTTCCTAATTATTTTCACTTTGCACTTCTTATATTGGTATCATCTACTTTTTTTTTTTCCTGTTTTGTCCTTTTTTCTTGCTTAAAATGTCTTCTTTTTCCTTGTGACCATCTTGACACCCACATCTTTAATTCCACTTCACAATAATTTTTCTACTTCTTTCTTGGTATTTGTTACATTTTCTCACATACAGTGTTCAAAATTTTCTCCCTGTTCCATAATTTAGATTGTTAGTACTTGACAGCATTTTCCCCAAAACTTTTCCTTCCTTGTTCTTCAGCATTCTCACTACTTCTACCCATCCTTTCACAAATCTTAAGACTCTTTCTAGATCTCATTTAGGTATATCCTTTCTGCTGTTATTTACCACCAGCATTTTTGAAACTGGGATTGAATGACCTTCTTATTTCGTTCATTTTAGTCTGTCCTTAAAGTGGCATTGTTATAAAATTTAGATTAGATCGAGCCATTTCCTTGCTTAAAAACTTTCTATGTAGTGATTTTATCTTAGCTAAAAGCAATCAGAACTTAGTAAGATTGTAATAAGTACTGAACAGCCTGGTTGCATTCTCTTACTACCTTGATCTCTAACCGTTTCACTCTTGCATCCACTTCATCTGTTGTGAACATGTGTATTTCTTAGAGCATGTTATGTTCTTTCATGTTCTGAGCCTTGTTAAATTAGATTTTTTTTTTTTTCACTACATATTGAACTCTGCTGTTTTTTAGGGCTGAACTCTGATGTCATGATAGTTTTTGTATTACTTCTCCCACTGTTTCCCAAATGATTTCTACTTTTTTCTAAAATTGTATTTATAAATTTAGTTTTTTCAATAATATATTCTCTCTCGGGTTAGTCTGTTTTACTGCATTTTTTACTTTGTTCACCTTCTACCCTCTCTTTCCGTGCTTTTAGCACCATTCCTGATAAACTTAACACAATTAAAATTTATAGTAACTTTAAGCTTATAAGCTTAAAGAAGAAACACAATTGCCTTTGAAATTATCAAATTTTTTCCTGCATGTTAATTGAAGACAATATTAACTGTCTTAAAGAAATTATAATAGTTTTGATATTTTCTCGTCATCCTTCAGTTAGTTTAAATTTGTGAAGTGTCCATTAATTTTAAATGCATTTCTAATTGAAAGTCAGTGTTATTTAAATTAAATTTCCTGTTGAATCTTTGTCAACATCCTGATTTTCTTCAACAGTTAAATAATTTAGGATTTGGGGGTTTAGTTCCGTGGTAGAGCACTTGCCTAACATGAGTGAAACTTTGGGTTCAATCTCTAACAGAAAAATTTTAAAAAATTTATATAATGACATAATTTATGTTAAAAGATTGATGGTTCAAATAAGGTTGTTGTTGGTCTTAAGTGATAATATGACTAAGTATTTTTATAATATTTTTAATAATATGTCTAAGGGTGTTACTTGTAGTTTGCTGTATCAAATAATACAAGAGCAGAATCTTACCTGCTGCTCTCTTCCTAGTGCTTGACATAGTAATAAGCACTGTGTAAATATTTGTTGCAGATGAGTAAACAACTCTAACACTGTTAATGAATGTGTTGTGGGTTGAAGAGCACCTGTATTGGTCACGGCAATGTAAGAAAAGTTTACTAATTTAGAATTATAACAGGTAAATTTATAAATAAAGTAGTCACAAAAGCAGACCTAAGTGAAGTCAAGCTCTCAGAATTAGTATATCTACATGATCAGATCATTAACATACTTGTTTCTCAGTGGGAGAGGGAAGAGAAATCAGTCGTTTATTAATATGCGGTGACATTCATTTGGAATAGAATTCCCCTGTGTGTTTTTATGGTATCTGCAGACTAAGTAAAATTTGAATAAACTCTTAAGATTTTAGTAATGCATTAAGACAGCTGACACAGAAGGTTATTTACTGTCCAGGTGGACCAACTTCAGCTGTCAATTGCTTTGTTTTTGAAAGTTTTTAGGGTTACTAAATATTGAGGAAAAATAGGTTGGCCATAGTTACTCAAATGTTTGAATAGCTGAATACATAAATTAGAGGAATTTAGTCTTAGTAAATAAGTTTAAATTTAGTCCAATGGCTAAAAATGGTATTTCAAACCGTAGAACAGGAGAATCAACTATGACAAAAAGAATATTAGGAAATATTATTGTTAATAATTTGTGAATAAGGGTGACCTTTTAAAATCAAGACCCAGAATGCATTTAGCTTTTAAAAAGTTGATAAATTTAGCTAGGTGTGATGGTGCATGTTTTTAGTAATCCCAGCAACTCAGGAAGCTGAGACAAGAGGATCCCAAGTTTAAGACTAGCCTTAGCAACTTGGTGAGTTCTAAGCAACTTGGCATGACCCTGTCTCAAAATAAATACAAAGGGTTGGGGATGTGGTAAAGCATCCAAGGGTTCAGTCCCCAGTACCAAAAATAAAACGTTGACATATTGACCACTGAGATATTTAAAATTTCTGGGACAAATATAATAATCAAGATTAAAAAAACAAATAATGTTAGGAGAAAATATTTACAACATACATAGCAGTGGGATACATTAAGAAACCATGCAAAGAATGTGAACAGGCTATTAGAAAAAAGGAATTTTAAGTTGTCATCAGACTTTATATTTCATACAAAATTAATTTTAAAAATGAACTAAAGATCACATTTCAATAGCTAAAATAAGATTTTAAAGGAAAAAACGGGCTGGGGATATAGCTCAGTTGGTGGAGTTTTTGCCTTGCATGCACAAGGCCTTGGGTTCAATCCCCAACATCATAAAACAAAAAACAGGAGGAAATCTTCAATGTTGAAGTTGTCAGTGACACCAAAAACTCAGGCAGTGAAATAAAAAATAGATATTGGACTTCATTAGTGTTAAAAGATTTTATAAAGAAAACTACCAAGTGTCTATACAATTAGAGAAAATATTTATAAATTTCATATATTATAAGGAATTGATACTGAGAACATCCAATTTAGCAATAACAAAAAATCCAACTCAAAAATGGACAAAGGGCTTGAATACATTTCTCCAGAGATGATATTTTGATTGCCAATAAGCACATGTAGAGATGCTCAACATCAATTCATTAGTCACGAGGGAAATACAAATCTAAACCACAATTAAATAACATTTCACACCCATTAGGATGACTTGTGACCTTTAAAAAAAATCATACTTTTGAAGTTGTGAAGAAATTGGAATTCTTATACTTGCTGGTAGGATTGTAAAATGGTGTAGCCACTAGGGGTTGGTTAGTTCCTTTAAAAGTCTTGCAGAGAATTACCTGCAGCATCCAACAGTTTGTCTTCTATATATACACCACAAAATATTGAAAGCCAAGGATTCAAGATTTTTCTGTTCCTAGCAGTTAATTATTCATTGTAGACAAACATGAAAAACAGTAAGTGTTCATCAACAGATTAAAGACTAAAATGTGATGCATATTTACATACAGTGCAGTATTATCAACCTACAAAAGGAATGAAAATTCTGGCATGTGCTGTAGAATGAGGATGAAATGAGAACATTAAGACGTAGTAAGACTTCATTTATGGATTGATTCATGAAGACAGAAAATAGAATTGTGGTCCTAGGGGCTGGTGGGAGTATTTGAGGAGTTGCTTAATGAGTAATTTGTAAGATGAAAAAGTTTTAGAGATGAATGATTATGAAAGTTGCAGAGATGTGAATGTCCTTAATGCTGCTGCATCATACACTTAAAATGGTAAATTTTATGTATAACATATTGAGTATTAAGATGAAGTTGTGAGTTCATTTTTTCAATTTTTAGGTTGGACAGCAATTGGATATGGGGAAATGTGGTTGGTGAATGGGTTAGTGTTAGTGTTGGTCAGTTTAACAACATCTGTTAAAAATTGAAAAACATACTTTTGTAGTAGAGTGAAGATTCTCTTAGTTGAATAAAAAAGCAAGTTGCAAACTACTTATAAACATACATGAATGTTGATGTTTTCTAACTGCATAGAAGTTTTAGAAGGATATGTGATTAAAAATATAATACATAATTCAAAGCAAATTGATAGTCATAGTAATATTTTTAATAGGTATCATTGCCTTACAACCATGTGGTTTTTTTCTGTTATACCTGTATACTGTGTTTTCTTTTATAAACTACTTCATGTACCACCACTATTACAAAGTGGAAAAAGCAGATTGTCTTTGATATAGTAGTTGTTTGAGATACGTGTGTTCATATCCCTCTTCGTATTAACAGCAGTTGTCAAAACGCCATAGGAAATTGAATAGAAATGCAGTTATTATCAGTATCTTTAAAAATCCTAAGTGTATATCAAAAAGAGTTATTTGCTATCCTAGAAAAATTTACTTTGGTGTATGCCCTAGGTGACTTGGAAGGTTGGGTTAGAAAAGTTGCCTGATAAAACAATTTTTTCTTAATTTTCGTTAAGTTACTCCCCCTTCAGGAAAAGAAGTGTAAATACAAATCAATAACTCATAAGTATAAAGAGAAGGAAGGTTGTTTTATCTTAAGGCAGAGAGACTATTTAAAAACGAAATTTTTATGAACTTATTTATGGTTCATATTAAATAATTAAATAATAAACACTTCTACAAGTTGTAGAAGTGTAGGGAAGTGAATAGAGTTTGAAATAGCTTAGGGTAAAGATCTGGATATCTCTAAGTCAAAGTACTAACAGTTTAAAAGTGTATACCATTCCTTTGACAGAAGAATGTTTAAGGTAGCCATGATTTATTAGCCTCATATCCTAACAAATTAGATTCTAGCTTAAAAGGTTTCAAAGACTGTTAATTAAAATTACATTTGTGTGAACAGCACAATAAGTAATTGTTAAGGTATTCTTAATATGTTACCCTTTTTAATGAAAAAAGTAGTTTAGTTTTTCAAGTATTCAAAATAAGCCTAAGAAAGTGAATATAGCACGGAATAAACGGTTTATTAACTCCTTTAGCTATTTATTATATTGTTGAAAACAGACTTCATCCTCCCAGCATCATCATTTTTTTAGGCCAATTCAAAAGATTGTCCTAGAAGTAAAGAGAGAATGTGCATCTTTGCTTATATTGCATCCTGTTCACAAATATATGTTGATGAGGCCTAGTCCCATTTTACTCTAAGGCTGTGAGATACATCACACAAAAATTTCTCTTCTGATAGAGCTCTTATTTGAGTAGAACATTATTGTATAATAGAAGATGCTTGGTACTATGAAGAAAGAGGAGGGGGGCATAAGAGAAACCCCTCAAATGTAAAACTTATACATTTGTAAAATGGAGATTACTCAGAATAGCATTTGTAGTAATTATTAAACTCAAATTAGTTATTAGTTTCCAGTTACACAGGTAGACTGAGGTGCATAATATTCAGATATATGAATACGCTATCATATGGTTTGGAAAGGCATTTGTGTCTTGGAAGGGGGAAGGGCTAGTAAAAGAAGAGTATAAAAATGGGATAGTGAAGGCCTTCCTGGAAAACAGTTTTAGCTTTTCTGTCTTTGGTCTTATTCTCACTCCACTCAAAGTCATAAGGAACCTTCAAGATTCTCCAGTCTGTATTTTTCGTTACCAGCAGGGGGTGCAGAACATTTACAAGTTGTACATATGTGTAAGTCTCCCAGGTTCAGTATTTCTAAGTTGGAGCCCAAGTATCTATTTTTTTAAAATATCTTTTTTTAGTTGTCAATGGGCCTTTAATTTGTTTATTTATATGTGGTGCTGAGAATCCTACCCAGTGCCTCTCACATACTAGGCAAGCACTCTACCACTGTATTGTATTAGAAAAGAGGAATTTTAAGTTGTCATCAGACTTTATATTGCATACAAAATTAATTCTAAATATTAATTTTAAATTAATGAGGCACAACCCCAGCTGCAAGTATCTGTATATTTTTAAGCTTTAGAAATGATTATATTCCTTTAAGCAGTGTATTGAGAACTAATACTAAAAGTCAAGGCTTTGTAATAGAGAAATTCTGACCTTTAGAGATGTCACTTGCCTGGGGGGTCCTAATAGGATTAACTGGTTTTTATGCTGCTCATCTCTCACAACTCTGCAAAGGCAAAAAAGGGAAATAAACCTATTTAAATTAGAAATCAAGAATGTTTAGTTTTTGTCATTCTTTATGGTGATGTGTATTAGTATTCTGTTTTATAGTGTTTCTTTTGATTGGCTTAAATCTAGGACAACATTGAAGAACTATTAATCTCTTAATAGAAGACTTCCAAGTCTGGGGGCTGGGGATGTGGCTCAAGCGGTAGCGCGTTTGCCTGGCATTCGTGCGACCCGGGTTCGATCCTCAGCACCACATACAAACAAAGATGTTGTGTCTGCCGAAAACTAAAATACATGTATATATATATATAAATTCTCTCTCTTTAAAAAAAAAAAAAGACTTCCAAGTTTGAATGGATTTTGCAGCACCAAACAGAATTGAAAATACCTCATAGTTTCTTTTCCAACTTGATTCTGCCTGTCATTAAGAGCAGAAGGAGGGCTGGGGATGTGGCTCAGTGGTAGAGCACTTATCTCACAAGTGTGGAAGTTGTAGTTGCCCCTTAAAATAGAATGACTGATGGATTTTTCCAAAGGGGGAAAAGTCAGTCATTTCAATCAAGTTTCTTTGCTAGTCTGGATTAATGGATAAATAAAGTGGGAAATGATAGTCTGTCAAACTCAAGTATTTTGCATTATAAAAATAAAAAATCTTAGGCCTTCTGAGTTGGTTGCAGTTTTAATGAACATATCCTTGAAATGGACTTAAAGCAGCTATGAGATTCCTACTTAAAAGAGGTTCTACCCCTGGTTCTTTGACAATTATAGTAGTGTAAACAAACTGAAAGACTGCTGGTAATTCCCAGCTTCTCTGGGACCATGAAGGTTAGTGAATGCTTTGTTCTAGAGTTAAAGATGAAGATTTACAATGATTAGATTATAAAATTGAAATGCAGTTGTCCTGAAATGTATGTGTGACTTCATAACAGCAATTTTTAATTCAGTCGTATGACATATATATAATCTTGAAAATCTTGAAGTGGATATGCATGGGAAATTAAAGGTGCTTTCCCAAATGCCCATATTTAGTCTTTAGATCAAAATTACAAATGTATGAATGTTGTTAACCTTTGGATTCATGTTTCTAATATTCTTTCCTGCTTTGAAGTCACTATATTAATACAATCTCATGGTATGTAAAAACCACAGTTGTTTATTTTCTTGTTGGTGGACGTCATTTAATTCTACTTTTAAGCTAAAATAAAGGCAACACAGTGCTGTTGTTGAGTGTTTCCCTTGATTTGTATATATCACAGTTTCACTGGGGGCAGTTCACCTAAGGGCAATTACTGGGTTATTAAGTGTATTTATCCTCACCTTTTTAAGATAACACTGAATTATTTTCCAGAATGGTTGTATCAGTGTAGTTTCAACCAGAAATGTTAAGTAAATATTTTCATTACTCCTTACCAACATTTAGTATTTATTATCAAACTTAAATTTTTGCCAATGCAGTGTGAGTAAATGGATTCTTGTTTTATTTTACACGTTTCTGATGATCAGTGAATAGAATTAAATATCTTTTCTTGAGTTTTTAGACTTCAGATTTCTTCTGTGAAATCTTTTTATATCTTCCTCCAGTTTTCCTTTGGATAGTTTTTTTTTAAATTCATAGAAATTCTTTAAAATATAATGCTTGCTAATATTTTGAATTAGTTATCTTGCTTTTTGTAATTTTAGAAATCTACTTATGTCGATGATACCTTTTTATGTTTTCTTCTAATAGTTTTAAAAACTTATAAATATACTTACAAAATTTGGTCTATCTTAAATTATTTATCTGACAGGGCATCTCATGTGTTGCATTTTTCTTCAGGAATCTTCAGAATTTTTATTAGCAATTTATCAAATGCTGTAAAGATACCATTTGGGTCTTGATTACAATTGAATTTATATTAATAATTTGAATAGTAGCTTTGCATACTTTTTTCATGCATCTTTTATTTAAATACTGAGTCTGGGCTTTAGTTTTTAGGATTTGAAAGAGTCCTTTTTATTGGTAATATTTACTATGTTATCCTAAAGAGTCTTTCCTCATTCATCACATCCTTAGCCCATCTTTGAGGGTGAACACCATGGTGCCCATCCTGTTATGTATTAAGGCCTTGTCTTAGGTTATTACTATGGTCATAAATATTTTTTTACCTTATTTTATAGGGCCTATAAATTAAGGTGTATAATATTGTTCCTTTTTTCTAATGGAAGCTGTTTGTGTGGTTAATATATAACCATGTTGGAGACAGCATTACTTAGTGTGGTACTTTAAAAAAAAACAGATATGAATATGGCTTATTAGCTTTTTTTAACTTGCCATTTCATTATTCTAGTCAGGCAGATATTTACTGAGCAATCTTGTGAACACTAAATGGGAAGTGCTTTTCTGATTTTTGTTCATGTTCCAACATTCAGGTAATTTTTTTCGGTTTTATCATCATCTTTTTATTTAGAGTCTACATCAGGAGACAAATTGGTATCACATTCTTGCACAACTCCTTCCACTTCTTCTGCCTCTGGACTGAATCCCACATCAGCACCTCCAACATCTGCATCGGCAGTCCCTGTTTCTCCTGTTCCACAGTCACCAATACCTCCATTACTTCAGGACCCAAATCTGCTTAGACAGTTGCTTCCTGCTTTGCAAGCCACGCTGCAGCTCAATAATTCTAATGTGGACATATCCAAAATCAATGAAGGTAAATTTTTTATAGCAATAATTTAAAAAAACATTTGTTTGCATTGTGCAAAATTATGTTATCAATGAAATTCCCAACTAAGGGATGGTCTGTTGTTTCCTTTTGAAACTAATGTTTAAATTTCTTCTTTTTGGAGTTTAAAATTTATTCTCTTTCATAGTTTAAAGGCATTGTTAGTAAAATTGAGTTAGTAATACTTCTATATAGATTTTTTTTTCTTTATTGTTTTGTGGTGTTGGAAATCAAACCCAGGGCCTCAAGAATGCTAGGCAAACATTCTACCATTGAGCTATAACCTCAACCTATTTCTATATATTTTTTAAAGCTTCTGTGTGTCTGGTAGTTACTGGAGATGAGCTCTTCTGTGTGTTAAGTATAGAAACAAAATATGAAATATTTGTTAAAATTCATATAAAAACTCAGCATTTTAAAAATATTTAAATATGTTAAGTACTAGAAGATTAAAAATTCAGGTTGTAACTTAAAATACTTGTAAAAGATTCTCAGAAGGGAGGGAGGTACTGAATAAAATTTTTCCCCTCCCTTCCTGTCCGATTAAGCACAGTAATTCTAGCTTTTCTTTTCAGTATGCTACTGAAGTGAAGTGTTCAGGCAATCAACTTGAAGAAATCTGAATAAAAGTGGTTGTGGTTTTAATTTGGAAATCATTCAGATTCAGACATTAATTCTAAGAGCATTACATAATTTTCTGATAAGAATCATCAATTTACATTTACACATAATATATTTAATAATAGTAGTTAATTCTAAAAAGAGCTAGACATGAGTTTTCTATTGCTTTCTTCAACTTTATTTTTGTTGTCTGAAATTTGATTTTGTAGGTAAATGCAAAGTAAGCTTTGAATAGTTTGAGGTAATAGCATAAAATGTGTAAATTATGTCTTACGCAGCAAAAATACATGGTATTCCTAAGTACTGGCTTTTTAATTTTCATTGTTAAATGTTTATTGGTGGATATTGATGTATAGTGGTCAGCTTTTTTAAAAAAGCAATCAATGAAATAACAACCATTTATTCAGTTAATTCCAAGTAATTAACTGAGCATTCTACTTATATATGGATAGTCTTCTGACACAGAAGCTCCAGTGAATGTTTTTTGGTGCTTTAAAAAAGTCTAATTGAGGGGTCTTGTTTTTGTAAAAGAGACAATTGTTTACCTTTAGTGTAAATCTATTTTCTTTTTCTCTTAGATCATTTTAGTCTTAGACCTGTTATAGTATTCATTTTCTCCAGGTTGTATTTTGAGAGTTGTGACTTGAAACACTTGCTTTTTTTCTGAGTTCTCTTTGAGTTTTCAAATTGTTACCAATGCCACATAAACCTCATTGTTTTTATTTGAATTTAGTGGATGATGTGTTTTTAGTTCTTACAGCAGCTGTGACACAAGCTTCACTGCAGTCTATAATTCATAAGTTTCTTACTGCTGGACCATCTGCTTTCAACATAACATCTCTGATTTCTCAAGCTGCTCAGCTCTCTACTCAAGGTATTCATTTATATTCTTAGATATTTCTAAAATTTGTTTCTTGGTTTTGTTTTGGAATTAAGGGCAATTTTTTTTGTGTGTGTGGGGGTGTTTTTAATTTTGCCATAAAATGGTGATTTTATTTTTGGTTTTTGTAACATTGGCATATACCATTTTATTTCGTTTTATTTAAATGAAGCGTGCTTTGACATTTATTTTAGGTATTGCCATCAGACCTATAACATAGTTATATTTAATTCAGAATTAAGTTGCTAATAAGATATTTTACTCCAAAGCTGAAAGTTAACTTTGGTATATCTTCTGTTTCTGTGAAACAAGTTTGGTTGAGATTGCTGTTGGCTGATTTTTGTCTAGAGATGCAGAAATGCCCAATTTCTGCTTGAATTTGATACCTCTTCATCATGATGGTATTGAAATAGAGAAAGACAAGAGCAAAAAGGATTGCTTTGTCAGAAAATGATAAACTGAACAGTAATACCTGAACTGAAATGGAAGTATAGTGATGCAGAGACACCTGAAACACTCTGTCTAGCCTTATGAGGCAGGGGACTGTGAGATGCCTGGGTCTAAACAAAGAATAGTAAAAAAGAAATGAGACCCTGTGAGAATAGGTTCAGGCTTATCTTCCTTGTCCAGTCTCAGGGAGAGTGGACCTTGCACCGAGTATGATACTATTTAACAGTGCATTTAGTTAGCATGGCATCCAGTGAAGATGTCACATTTTTTCTTTTTCAGAAAAATGTTCTTTGGGGGAATGTGAGGTATGGGTTATATTATGGATTATGTAGAGTGATGCTGAGATCTTCATGTATATTACAAAGGTTTTGGCTTATTTAAGTTATTTCTTCACTCTTTCCAGCCCAGCCATCTAATCAGTCTCCAATGTCTTTAACGTCCGATGCTTCATCCCCAAGATCCTATGTGTCTCCAAGAATAAGCACACCTCAAACTAACACAGTCCCTATCAAACCTTTGATTAGTACTCCTCCAGTTTCATCACAGCCAAAGGTATGTCACCTTTGACGGAAATTGCTTGCTTTGGAAAATCAATAATATTTTAGAACCTATATTGTAGAAAATGGCCCAGGAGGTGTAGTGGAATGAATGAGAGGTGACTGATAGTAGATGCAGAAAGGGGTGCTTGAATCTGTGCTAATTATATACACCATCTGATTCTGTTTCCTCTATTGATGTTGGGATTTGTGGCATGGAGAGTGTGATAAAGATGATGTACTAAGTGAATCTAAGTATCTGTAGAGTTTCAAATTATAAAAGATGAGAGAATGTTTTTCAGTGTCCTTTTCTCATTTTATTTTAAAAATGAATTCATTTCTCTAAGAGCTTCACATATATACATTTAATTTTCACATCATGAGACTCATAGTGTTTATTTCATTTACTAAGTAAAATTAAATTTTCAGAAAAAGGATAGTTTTGTGGTAGATTAAGAATTTGAAACCTAGGGCTTTGTGAATACAGAACACATTTGGCTAGGCAGTATGCCTGTGTGTGTCTAATGCAGAATCTTATGTAGATGATGCTTTAGAACCACCGTTAGAAAACTTGCTTTTCTGTTCCTACCAGAACCTAGCAGAACCATCCTAGTGGTACAAAACCATAAAGTTTTGTACCACAGCATGAGTACTGGCTGCAGTTCAGAAGTAAAAGGCAATTGTACTCATTCTATACTCTATAAACAGGCCATCAGTAAAATACTGAGTTTTGTATAATTTTTTTTTCTAAACTCTATCTGATAAATGTAGGTAGAAATTGAAATTCTTTCTAGTAGTTGAAGATGGTGGTAGCCATCATTCCCTTCCACAGCGAGCGATTGATGTATGTTTTAGGATCTAGTTGAACTTTTAAAATTCCAGGTTATAATTAGTTTATTATGTAGTTACTAAATGCCTGAATTTTGAGGGGGTAAAAATTATGAATTTCAACAAAATAGAACTTAATATCCTTAGAGCTTTAGTTTTTTAAAAGTGCAATAGTGGCATAAAGGTGTATTAAGAATTCTGATGCAAAAAAAAAAGCTCGTGTATAATGGCATAATTTGGCGTGAACATACTGTATACAGAGTTACAAAAAATTGTACTGTGAATGGATAATTATGAATATTAGTAATGCACTCCACTATTGCCATGCATGTAATAAATAAATAAATAAAGTGCAGTAGTGGCTAAAAGTAATAGTATTGAGTTTCTAGTCACTTTAAAATGAGCATTTCAAATTCCATAAGCAAATAGCTGCCCTTTTGTTTTGTTTTTGTTTTTGTTTTGTTTTGTTTGCATTGTCTACCTTTCTGTCTGAATTTGGGGCTTATGTTTTAAACTGCCTTGTTTTTTTCTATGACATCTGAATATAAATAGCATATTTATCCCCATTGGCAATTATGGACTTCTTGATCTGTCTCTAAAAGGTAACATCTCTTTTGAAGACCTCTCAGGTTGAATTATATGTATATAACTTATTCTTTGTGTGTGTGTACACTCAATATGTGGTGGAAATTTTGGCATCAGTATTTGTGTAATGTAATATAGATAATTACTTTTATTGATAACAGACATAATAATAAATCAAGAGGGATATTGCAGTTTATTGGAACGAAAACTGCTGAAAACCTGGAGAACTAGTTTCTTCTGCTGGTGTTAGTAATACTGTTATGGTCTTAGGCCATTTTATGAAGAAATGAGATCTGTTTCAAAACTTGACTGTCTTCTTGTTGTGTGAATTTGGCAGGCCCTCTGATTCCTCTTTGTGAAAAATCCAGATTTTATAGTGTTTGAGATTATTAACTAGATTTGAAGGGAAAGGTATGATTGGATTTGAGAACCCAATCAGTAATTTACAGTATTAAATATCACTAGTATTAATATTATGGAACAAAAATTAAGATAACCATTTTCTTAATCACTGGAGAATAGAAATAATAGGAAAATTGCATTGATAATAGAAATTTTGTGCTTCTCTACTTTCTGTGCTATATGCCTATGTGCTGGAAACTGTCTCACCAGATTTTAACATTTCAGGTTAGTACTCCAGTAGTTAAGCAAGGACCAGTGTCACAATCAGCCACACAGCAGCCTGTACCTGCTGACAAGCAGCCAGGTCATGAACCTGTTTCTCCTCGAAGTCTGCAGCGCTCAAGGTAAATTGATCTTGTGTATTAGACTGCGTTTTTGTTTTCTTTAATATGAGGTGCTACTATATTAATATTTATATGTATAATAAAACAATTTTGGAAGAATCCATGGAGAACCTAGTATAATTTTATGGGTTATAAAATTTGTAAAGATAAAAAGGGTGTAGTGGCACATACCTGTCATTCCAGTAGCTTGGTGGGTCTGGGGCAGGAAGATCACAAGTTTTAGGCCAGCCTGGCCAATTAATTAGACCCTATCTCAAAATGAAATTAAAAGGGCTGGGAAAGTAAAATAGCTCAGTGATAGAGCAACCTTGGGTTCAATCCCCATTACTACAAAATATGTAATAAATAAATAAACAAAATGCAAAGACAAATCTTTTTGAAGTGAAACTTGGTTATTTTGAAGAAAATGGCTCTTTAAAATTTTACTTAAGTATATGAACTAAAAATATGGAATAATTGTACCAAAAGGGCAGATGCTTTTACAATATTTTATTGATTGCATCACCTCATGATTCAAGTGTTTTGGTGAAGCCAAAAATACAAAACTTGGACCACTGTTTTCCACTGGAATATATCAGAGTTTACTAATAGCTTCAATTCTGACCTTATACACATTGCATTTCATATAATTATGTAGCACTGTGTTGTGTTTTCACTTTCCTTGGATCATAGCAATACAACCTTAAATGAAACTTGTTGAATGAATGGTTTTCATTTAATTGATTTTTTTTTTCCTATTTTTATTTCATGCTACAAGGTGGCAAAATAATTCAACTGTTGTTTTTATTGTTGTTTTCTAAACAAGCATTTCAGAACTTATACATCCAAATGAGAGTTGTTCCCTTCAAAATAATCACCTTTGGATGCTGTCTACTTACTCCAGCAATGTTGCCATTGCTCAGAACATTTTTGGGAAATTCTTCTTTTAAATTGTCTTTAGAGGCTGCAGTGTTATTTTAAATATCCTCAGTGATGAAAACTCTTCATCCTTTGGGAGATTTAGTTTTTGGAAATAACTGAAATTCATTCAGAGCCAAGTCTGGTGAAGCAGGTAGGAAATCAACTTGGGTGATTAAATTTTTGGTTCTCACACCATATCCCCAAACCCTGGCCCAAATCATTCAGCTTTAAAAGAAGATAACTAATTTTAGAGTAATTTTTTTTGTGTGTTATTTTGCCACTATGTTTATTTCAGTGCTGTCTGATAAAATGCCCTTATTTTGCTTCAAATTATTTTATCCTCCGATTCAACTTTGTTCTGATGTTGAACAAAGACCCTTCCCTCTAAAGAGGGATATATGAGACACAATATTCAGATGTGCCTTTTATGTACACCTATAAAATATGACCATTTCTTATTTATATTAGTGTTTGTGGTATACAAAGTCAACAGGTTCTGCTGTTGAATTTGAAAAATACAATTACTTTCAATTTGATTTTGACAGTAGTTTTCTTTCCCTGAAGTGTATTGAGGAATATATGATATACTTGGGTTGCCAAAGTATATTTAGGAATTTGGATATCTTTAAATTAATAGACTATATTAACAGGAAGTTTCTATGATACCACTTTTAATTATACATTCTACATTTTTCTTCCAGTAGCCAGAGAAGTCCATCACCTGGTCCAAATCATACTTCTAGTAGTAATGCATCAAATGCAGCAGTTGTACCACAGAATTCATCTGCCCGACCTGCGTGTTCATTAACACCTACACTAGCAGCACACTTCAATGAAAATCTCATAAAACATGTTCAAGGATGGCCTGCAGATCATGCAGAGAAGCAGGTATGTTACATGATTCACAGTAAATATTTTATTACACTGGCAAAAAACACGTTCTGATTGTAGGAAATCCAATCTGGACCACTGAGTTTGAGCTATATTTATAATAACTTATTTTAAATTATATCATCTATAATTTTTAAAATATTTGATCTGTATGAGCTCTTTGGTTTCACAAAATACTTTAACCCAGGTACTCAGTGTTCAATGCTATGCTAATAAGTGCCTTGTGTTTGTTTTCTTCATTGCTTTTATTAGGATTTGCTAGCGTGTAGATAAGTGTTTTCCCATTTTGGCCATTGAAGCCCCTATGTTTGTGGCCAAATAAGTTATTCCAAGGTCAATGATGTGGCTCAATTTTATGTCCTTTTTCCACTCAGTGACTTGACTCTGATTGTTTAAGAATCTGTTAGAATTATGAATTTCATGAGTGACTCACTAGACTAACAGAAGTTAACGAAACATTTTTGCTTAAAGGTTTAAAACCTTAGGATATTCCAGTCACTGCCATTTTCCTCTCCCTTAACTAACAATAGTGAGGTTCTTCTGCAGGATGACAGTCTCTGGTTGACTTGGTGTCCTTTATGAACCTCAAATTATGAGCTCTTCCAACTTATTACAATCCAGAGGTTGGAAATGCTATTCTGGTAAGAAACCTGAAGGGGAATTCAAAGTAACTTCCATTAGAGATGGTTTCTTTAATTGCCAGCATTTTTGTGCATTGAAAGGAAATGGATTAGTCTGTGATCTTGGTCTAAAGTTCTTGGAAATCAGCATGTTTTATTTTGTGTATGTTAATATTATTTACAGTATGTTTAATGGAATCTATATTTCTTTAAAGGCATCAAGATTGCGTGAAGAAGCTCATAACATGGGGAGCGTTCACATGTCAGAAATTTGTACTGAATTAAAAAATTTAAGATCTTTAGTCCGAGTATGTGAAATTCAAGCAACTTTGCGAGAGCAAAGGTAAGATTTTCACTGGAATAAATATTTATTTTTCTTAGAACTATGTACAGCAGTAATCCCCTTTTCTCTGGGAGTATATTTCAGGATCTCCAATGAATGCCTTAAATTGTGTATAATACCAAATCCTATAGTTTATTGCCTTTTTCATCCTAATTGTGTATCATACACCATGGCCATAACTTTTCTAGTTTGAGGTGCAACATCAAAATTAGCATGAGTGTCTTTTCCTTCATAGTTTCACAGTTAAAAAATTCACTCTTATTATAGATCTTTGCAGCCTCAGCATACAATTTTTTTCTTTCCTTATTAAGTTGAGAATTTTTGCCTTTTTACTTTACGGCCTTTTCTTTTTTTGATGGACCTTTACTCATTTGTTTAGATGTGGTGCTGAGACGTGAACCCGGTGTCTCACACATGCTAGGCAAGCACTCTACCACTGAGCCACAACCCCACCCCCACTTTATGGCTTCTTTTTGGCATATTGGAATTGTCAGCACTGCTACTCTTATGCTTTGTGACCATTGTATAATAAACTAAGGATTACTTGAACATAAGCATTGTTTTACTATAAAGGTCAATCTGATAACCAGGATAACTACTAAGTGATTAACAGGCAGGTAGCATATGAAGCATGTTGATACTGAATAAAGGGATGATTCACATCTTGGGCAGGATGGAGTGGACAATGAGAGATATCATTATGCCACTCAGAACAGGGCACATTTTAAAACTTACCAATTGTTTCTGGAATTTTTCATTTGATATATTTGGCCTGCAAGTAACTGAAACCACAGAACGAGAAATAGTAGATAAAGGAGCACTACTATAAACTTTTTATAATTTAATAATAATCCTGATAAATAGCATCTTGGTTTCTCTTAACCCATGATAAATTAGGCTTTTTTTCCTTTTACATTTAAAAAGTGAAATGTCAACAGTAGCTATCATGGTGTCTCTTCCTGATTTGAGGTTAGCACTTTTTTTTAATATTTATTTTTTAATTATAGGTGGACATAATATCTTTATTTTATTTTTATGTGATACTGAGGATTGAACCCAGTGTCTCTCGAGTAGGCGAGCACTCTACCTCTGAGTCACAACCCCAGCCTGAGGCTAACACTTTTTTTGCTGAGGATATTTGTTTCATTTGAAATTTTTTATTACTATTTACATTATCCTTGCATCACCTATATATCCCTTGGAAATTTCAGAAGGAATTTTGTCTAGCAAATTTAATAATATCTAATAGTGTCTACTATCTTAATTGTTTTTCTACATTAATTCTTATCCTCCATTACTCTGGTATTTCACTTAAGTACAGTAAGTCACATTAAATAATATGTTTGTTTTTAAATGCATTGTCACAAAATCGAGGACAAATTTTTAGTTGCTTTACGTTCTGTCTATATAAGTCACTAGCTCAGAGGGAAGAGTTAATCTTGTTGTAAAACCATAAATATTTTAAAAATACCAAATTAAAGCTGAGTGTGGTGGTGCACGCCTATAATCCTCACAGCTTGGGAGGCTGAGGCAGGAGGATCGTGAGTTCAAAGCCAGCCTCAGCAATGATGAGACGTTAAATGACTCAGTGAGACCCTATCTCTAAATAAAATCCAAATTCTGGGATGTGGCTCAGTAGTCGAGTGCCCCTGAATTCAATTCCTGGTACCCTCCCCACAATTCCTACCCCCTCCCCCTACAAAAATCAAGATTTATAGTAAACTTGGAAGATTTGCATTTTTATCCGTTTCAGTTACTAAAATATCTGGAGGTACTTTTCTGAATATTAACTGGGGTTCTTTCACTCTAATAATTTGCTCTGGAAGTAGTTCTAATGTAAAAAACCTCATTTTGGCTTGCTAGATAGACTGTCTGACTTGTAGAAAATTATACATTTATACATGGCTAGATATGCCAGTGTATGAATGCTTAGTTCACCAGTAGTACAGGCAGTAAATAACAGAGTTTGTGGGAGAAAGATTTCATGAAATCTGTGGGAATCTAATTAACTGGGGGGTTTGTGAAATTTGTTTTATCTTTTATTTTAAATATACAACATATGAGTAGGAGTTTGATTTGGTCCTGAGGTGGGGTTTGCTGTGGTGTACCCACTCTACCACTGAACTATGCCTGCAGCCCCATTTTTCTTTTTTTCCAATATACATGTTTAATGGGGCATAGTGTGACATTTTAATTCACATGTACAGTATATAATGATCAGATTAGGGTAATTAACCACAAACTTTTCTTTGTGTAGGAAAAGTTCAAAATCCTCCTAGCTATTTTAAAATACATAATTCATAATTATTTTGAATATTCATAATTATTTTGGCTCTATTTATATGTGTCTACATCAAATATTGCTCCTCAGATTAGCCCCTCAAACCTAGAGGTTTATTTCACATTCAGTATGCACTGCCATTCTTAATATATAGAATAATAAAATTTAAATCAGTCTTTATTTTCAGAATTATTGAGAAATTGTTAGAAAATTTAAAAAAACATTCTAACTGTGGCATCCTGATACTCTTATGCACAACATACATCAAATGGTTAATTTGTTTTAACCATACAAACTATACAAATTTGAATTGTATAATGTTGGTTATAATTTTATAAGTTGCTTCCATAGTTTGGTTTGTCTTCAACACTACATGTACACACAGATTCTAATATTTGTTTTTATTTTTCAGGATACTATTTTTGAGACAACAAATTAAGGAACTCGAAAAGCTAAAAAATCAGAATTCCTTCATGGTGTGAAGATGTGAATATAATTGCACATGGTTTTGAGTACAGGAACTGTAAATCTGTTGCCCAGTCTTAACATTTTTGAGCTGCATTTAAGTAGACTTTGGACCGTTAAGCTGGGCAAAGGAAATGACAAGGGGACGGGGTCTGTGAGAGTCAATTCAGGGGAAAGATACAAGATTGATTTGTAAAACCCTTGAAATGTAGATTTCTTGTAGATGTATTCTTCACGTTGTAAATATGTTTTGTAGAGTGAAGCCATGGGAAGCCATGTGTAACAGAGCTTAGACATCCAAAACTAATCAATGCTAAGGTGGCTAAATACCTAGCCTTTTACATGTAAACCTGTCTGCAAAATTAGCTTTTTTAAAAAAAAAAAAAATTGGGGGGGTTAATTTATCATTCAGAAATCTTGCATTTTCAAAAATTCAGTGCAAGCGCCAGGCGATCTGTGTCTAAGGATACGATTTTGAACCATATGGGCAGTGTACAAAATATCATGAAACAACTGTTTCCACACTTGCACCTGATCAAGAGCAGTGCTTCTCCATTTGTTTTGCAGAGAAATGTTTTTCATTTCCCATGTGTTCCATTTCCCTCTGAAATCCTTGATCTGATTTTATCCATTTTTTTAAGGCTCCTCTTTTTCTCCTTTCTTAAGGCACTGTTGCTATGGCACTTTTCTATAACCTTTTCATTCCTGTGTACAGTAGCTTAAAATTGCAGTGATTGAGCATAACCCACTTGTTTGTATAAATTATTGAAATCCATTTTGCACCCTGTAAGAATGGACTTAAAAGTACTGCTGGGCATGTGTGCTGAAAGTACATTGATTGCTCAAATATAAGGAAATGGCCCAATGAACATGGTTGTGGGAGGGGAAAGAGGAAACAAAGCTAGTCAGATGTGAATTGTAACTGTTGTAATAAACATGTTGAAACAAACAAAAAATTGTTATTTTTCTTTTCCTTCGGTCAATGCATATTAGAATTTGAACTACCTGGGGATTCTTTATCAGAACTATTCTTGTTGACTATTTATACTTAATTGATATAATTCCTTAAGGGAAGTTTTGTTTAAAACATTAACAAATTGTGTATAAGATATTTAATGAAATATGAAATTCAACAAGAAATTATTAAGTCACTTCCCCAGTGGTTGTCTTTTGTTAAACCCTGGTTTACCTGTCTTGCTATTATGACATTTCATTTTGAAGGATGTTTGTGTTGTAGCTAACTGTTCAAGTCTGGTGCTGACTGCTGTTCTTAGCCATCACAAAACGCTAAATTTGTGTAATTGGAGCTTCCTGCTGTTACCTGGAAATGGTGGGAAAGCTCAGCTTTGTATATTGTTTCCTAAAGTATATTAAAATAAAAAAAGAAACTATTGCTACTATAAAATTACCTTGGCTTTTTTTTCTTTGCTAAAAATATTAGTCACATGGCCTTAGCATGACACTGCCAGATTGTATCAAATGACAAAGAGTTTCTGTATGCAGAAAAATCTTTTTTGACTTCAATTTTTTTAATTACTTTTTTTTATGTGGTGCTGAGGATCGAACCCAGTGCCTCACGCTTGCAAGGCAAGCTCTCTACCACTGGCTACAACCCCAGCCCGACTTCAAAATTTTTAACATCTTAGAGGGTTTTTGTTGAGACAGATATGTGCTTCCAGAACTGCCAGCACCAAGGGCTTATTTTTGATCTTTTACATCAACATCAATGTTATTATTTTCTGAGATAAAATTTCAAAATTGCTCTTGTGCTTTAATCATATTTCAACTATAGAAATGAACATTCAAAATTTTCAGTAAATATAAAAAGTGAAATGTAAGCAATAGTATTGTTTTCTGAAATACACAAAAATGTTCCAGTGTTACTGAGAGGAATTAAAATCTTATACTGGAAGCTGACTCTTTTTTCTTGTAACTTAATACTTTTAAATGTAAGAAAAGATAAATGTCATGAATCATATTGTCATGAAATGTGAGATTGTTACCATTTGCTGAACTTCATTAGTGCATGTAAACGAAACCCTGAAGAGCTATGTTAAGCTAGAACTCTTACTGTATCTTTTCTGGGGGAAAAAAAATGAGCAATGTGTAATGTTATAGGAAAATGTTTTCTGATCAGATGGCAACTTGTGGTTTAGGTGAAATTGAGTTTTGTTTGCAAATAGTTTGTCACTCTGTCCCTTTGTTTTAAAAGTTGCTTACATTCTTAAATAGTCACACATTCAGGACAAAATGCCTAATTTGAAACTTCTTAGTGGTAAACTTTTAAACAAAATTTTTCTTGTGGAAATATTTTTATAATATTTGATCCACTTAAGATTCTGTAGTAAATTATTTTAAATATTGCACTTTAATACAGACATGATGTCCAGCTCCTAACCTACTTGAGGTAACTAGGGAATATCCACTAGAATAGGCACAATACTCTGGAATATTTATCTAGTTGGCCTGTTATGAATTTGAACATGTACTTTCGTTCAGATAATGTGAAAATAGGGATACTGAATAGCTCTAGGTAACCTTAGAGGTTCCCCCCATTCTAAAAGACAAGTAGTTTATATTCAAATCTTAAGAACTGCAATTGTAATAAGTATGATGGTGGGCCTGTTAATCTTTACCTTGAAGAACCAGCTTTCACCTGTTTCCCTTCTCTTTAACCTAACTTTTCTTTAAAACTTGGACTGTGATTTCAAATTTTAAGCACACTGAACTCTATTTGCCACCATTTTTTCAAGACTTCTTTTAATAGCTAGAGTGGCTTTTTCTTAAAAAATATACTTAGATTTTTTTCCCCCATGCTTGTAAAAATCTTAGAAGGGAATCAAAATCTTGAAAAGAGTCACTCCATTTCAAAACTTTAATGTTCTGTTTGAACACAACTTAGCTTTAAAGGGACTACTTCAAAGGGGAGAGTGAAGGGCAGCCCGTAATTTCAGTGCATATTAGCCTTGTAGTTCAGGACTTGAAGCTACTGTATTTAGATGTTGGGTTTGAATATACAGATTTCTTTTCGATACCTGTAAATATGCCTATATTCTTGTATTTGTACGGGAGTGTACAAAATGACACTAAAAAGTAATAAATATGTTTTGATTATATTGTGCAGTTATTTCAGAACTGTGTTTGGGAAGTTGATGGAAAATTTGCATTTGTGTAAGAATTTAAACTACTAGATTACACTAAAATGTAATAGTTTTATTTCAGTAGTCTGTAACTTGTTAATTGAACTATTTTAATGAAAATTCTGAGGGCTGGGAAGTAGCACTTGCCTAGTGTGTGAGGCCCATTTTTGCTGTATTCCCCTTTTACCTGATCCCTGAACTTTGGGAGTGTTCTAAGGCAGTCTGCCTTGGTGATCTCATTCAGGTTTGCCTGTAAAAATCCCATTCATGTCAGTTACACCTGGATTAACCCTCATCTTCATTCCCAGCAATGGTCATTTTTGATACTCTGCAACAGGCAGGTTCTCTTAAACACTCATGATGGTTGTTAAAACCTGGTTCTCTAGTGTTCCTGTTTCCAGTAGTTGATAACCATCATTCCCTCAGTTGTTCAAGACCCAAGTCAATTTTTTTTCCAACACCCCACATTTAATCCATTTGCAGGTTGCCTTCAAAAATATTCAGATCTAATAGTTTCTCACTACAATATTGACCACTGGGATCCAATTCAAGTCATCTTTCAGAAAACCACTGCCACAATCTAATCTTGCTCCCAGGCTGTCCACCCCACCACCTATCCCTGCACATACACAGCCAATTCTCCATGGCAGCTGACAAAGTAAAATGTAAACCTCCTTGTCATTCTATTAATAATCCTTAATGACTTTAGGTTCAGGACAAGACTCATAGCACCTACCATGGCTTTCATGTTCAAGCCTCTGAATACTACCATGTTCCTGGCTCACCCACCATTTATTCCATTGTTCATTGCAGTCCCTCCAGAGATTGTACTTTTTTTGCCTTGAAAGTTCTGTTTAGAAATCTTTAATTTGCTACACTCTCATTGTCATATTAGAGGCTTATCTTCATTGTCTAAAAGCACTTTCTATCACTTCTTCACTCTGATTTTCTCTAAACAGCTCCTGCTATGTAATAAATATTCCATAAATAGTTTTGAATAACAAATATCAAAGGGCTTTGGACAGAACCTGAATTAATTTTTTTTGTTTTGTTTTGCTTTGTGGCCTTGTAGGGTTAGGGTTAGGGTGCCACAAATGGCTTTTTTAATAAAAATGATTACACTTGACTATCAGTTGACGAAATCTAAACCTGTCTTGTTTCCATTATGAAATGTGATGAGATCAAGAGTAATCCACTGAACCAGTTAAACTGTTTTGAAATGGGTATGATTACCATTGAACAGTCTCATAAAACCCTTACATATATGCATAAATGGCAACTGTCACAAAGTTTTCAAAGATACAATATGAGAAATGAAATTGTAGAAGATAGCAGAAGAAACATTCTGTTTTAGAGCTGGAATACTACTACACAATCAAAATGAAGAGCACACAATCTTGTAATCAAAAGTGGTGGCCAGAGAGAAAGGATGATAGGAAATGTGGGGTATAGTGTTTCCTTTAACTAGTTTAACACATCTAATCACCTCTGAGTTAGGGTCTAGACAGGAAATGAAAGTTCCTATAGGTATTTCAAAAGGAATATGAGGGAGTGAAGCTCGTGATGGATAGAAACAAGACAGGCCTGACTGAAAGAAATGACAAAGAGAGCTGAGACTATGGACAAAGGGGCTTTGTGGAGGAAGCTGGATCTGAGGAAAAGGCAAGGAGCAGGAAGCCAGCAGAAGCCAAGATAGGGAGAATTCCAGGCGTTGCCCTTCCTCTTAGTCTTCTGAGAGTGCCTACGTTGGCAGACTACCTAGAAACATTGGGACTTTCCTGCAATGCTGAGAAGGGAGAAGAATGAAAGCAAACAGACAAATAATGAGCACACCTTGATTCCACTAGCAGAACAAGAGAAGTGAGAGAGTACATCAGTTTGAGCAACTCTTTTAAAAAAAAAAAAAAATTTTTTTTTTTGTAGTTGTAATGGACAGAATGCCTTTATTTTTTCTGTTCATTTTTATGTGGTGCTAAGGTTTGAACCCAATGCTGCACATAGGGTAGGCAAGCGCTCTGCCACTGAGCCACAACCCCAGCCCAAGCAACAACTCTTGACAAAAGAAAATGAAGCAATGTCCTTAAAGTTCTAAGAAATGCCTAATGAAAGGGCCAGAGGCTATTATTGCACCTATGAGACCTTGAAGATTACAATAGCACTGTTGGTAATATTGAAGCAATTTAAATATCCAGACTAGGGATATGAAAGTGTAGTAAAATATGGCAATGTTGAAATAATATTAAAATGGAAGGCAGTGAAAAAGTGAGAGGAAATATGAATGCATTCATTTTTCTTTCCTAGATGGGAGGTACACTGACCAAGAAATAGAAAGATACTATGTTACTAGATAGACCAGGTTCTTGTTCCAGTGGATCTTATATTTAAGCGAAGGTAAAAGAAAAAAGTAACCATAACAAAATTAATTAAGGTTTCAATATGTAATACAATAAATACTGTAGTTAGTGCAGTGAAGAAAATAAAGTAATAATTTAGAGTTTAACAAAGAAATGGGGATGAGGGATGTTGGATCATGAATCTATTAGATCATGTATTTTAGATCAGTGTCCCTGATGACAACCTTTGGGCTGAAACCTGAGGAATGGGGACAAAGTAGCTATGTGAAGCTTAACATTTTTTCATGTTTAATGAAACACTAGAAGCTGTTTCATAAAATTTAAGAGCAAGAAAGCACAACTACTATTCCCACTGTTATTTTCAATATACTGGGAAATACTAGCCAATGCAATCAGACAGGAAAATGAAGTGAACTTCTTCTAAATAAGGAGAAGAAAGAAAATTATGATTCTTTTCAATAATGTCTCTTAGAAAATAATAAATATTAAAGGAATTTAATTAGGGGGCTAATTATAAGTTTAATTTACAAACAAGCAATAGCTTTTTCAAGTAAAAGTAGGGATTTATTATGGCAATAGAATTAGGAGACATGGATAGTATCTGAAAAAATCTATGAAAAACAGTTTTTCTGTAAGATATAGAAAACAAGGTCTGGACATACAGCTCAGTTGGTACAGTGTTTGCCTTACGTGCACAAGGCCCTGGGTTCAATCCCCAGCACCACCTGCCCCACCCAAAAAAAAGGGTTGGAAGTATAATTCAGTGATAAAGTACATAAAGTGCATAGCATGTTTGTGGTCCTGGGTTTAATCCCCAATACCCACCCACACACACACAAAAAAAAGAGATACAGAGAACATGCATTTAAAAAAAATAGTATTATTTGTACATTATAATTATATATAATACTGTT